AATTAGGTAAACGTTAGGCCATTAACTACAGGGCTAACCCTCACCCAAACAAACAACAAACAGATAAATGAATAGATAATTAGGTAAACGTTAGGCCATTAACTACAGGGCTAACCCCAACCCAAACAAACAACAAACAGATAAATGAATAGATAATTAGGTAAACGTTAGGCCATTAACTACAGGGCTAACCCCCACCCAAACAAACAACAAACAGATAAATGAATAGATAATTAGGTAAACATTAGGCCATTAACTCCTACCCAAACAAACAACAAACAGATAAATGACTAGATAATTAGGTAAACGTTAGGCCATTAACTACAGGGCTAACCCCTACCCAAACAAACAACAGGCAGATAAATGAATAGATAATTAGGTAAACATTAGGCCGTTAACTACCCACTCTTTCCTTTTCTAAATAAGTAATATTTAAAAGCCTTTTCGCCATTCAAGCATGCACCAGGTCAAACATTTTGCGACTCCAAATATGGTGGCTTGCCGGCTTCACGATATGAAAATCAATGAATATAAGTGTTGTTTCAACATAAACTACTGACGACATAATATTAGCGGCTTGTTGAGTTATGGTATATAGTTAAGACTATTCTTTTCGAAAAGTGGATTAAAGAGAAAAAAAGTCTGGTATTGGAAAAGAACTAACCTTGACAACGGCCTGTACTACTAAATATACCTTATACTTGCAAACCCATATTAGGCTTGCAGAAAATACAATATTCGAGTAATTATATAATTATCAGCCTTTGTTTGTTTCAGATACTTGCGCAAAGCTACACAAGGATTACATGTTCTCTAGTCGTCCCTACTTTTGAACTGACAAGCAGTATCAACTACTGACTCTTGGGCTATTCTTGTTTGATGAAACGGTGGAAGTTTACTGTTACTCTTATAGCGCACCGACGGTCCCAAAGTGAAAAGCACGTTTTTTGCGGCAACAAGTCGCGAACCATACACACACAGAATCACAATAGGGGCATTTTACTAGACTGCGTTGTGAACCGAGTATATAGATGTTTCACATGTTGCTCGTGACATTGCAACTCACATTTGTGGTGACACAACATTGATACAAATACTTGTTATAAAAGTGCAAATAAACTTCCGTGCTACACATTGATTTTTAGACACACTGTTTGAGATTATGATTAAGTTGAGGGTTTATCGTTTATATCTCAACTCAATGTGTAGCACGGAAGTTTATTTGCACTTTTATAACAAGTATTTGTAGTGTGTTAGGATACTGTTCGTATTTATCCTTCCATTCTCTCATATTTGAAAAGTTGGAAAAGTATTTTGTTAGGATGAAGAGATTTTGAACGCCGTACAATGAAATAGCTGTTAAATATTTTAATAAAAATTACTGCTATTACAAATTATTTTTGAATTATTGTATTCTTATTATTATTTTAATTAAAGTATCGTGAGAATTAAATTATCAAAATAAATTTCTTTATAGCGTTTTTCTAGAGGAAACAGAAGATTGAAGATAGCTATCCCAAATTTACCTTTCATCAGGTTTTGTCTGCCATGAACATAGAGGAACAATTTATTAAATTAAGACATCTTCACAAATCAATGTGTGTGTGTATATATATATATATATATTTAATTATTAAGATTAAAACAAATAATATTGAACTAATGTTCATTTAACACTTCAATTTACTTGGTGTTTTTAACGCCAAAAAACATTATATACAAGGTGAGATAGTGTGATCAAATAGTGAAATTAAGATATATTACTTCATTTGTTAGTAGTTTCTGTTTATAATGTTTCTTGTGGATTATCGCGCATTCCTATTCACCAACCTAATATTACTAAGCTACGTACCTCTTTTCGAACATCAGGTAAAGTTAACCATAAAGGAAAGATGATTGGTGCTAAAAGAACATAGTTCAGTCGCTTCCTCCAGGTGTCAGGCCAAGAGATATCAAGTGGACTTGCAGTCTCTTCTTCTTTTTCTGGATTACTCGTTTGTTGTAACTCCTTTAATTGAGTTAAATGATCAGTTAGTCCAAAAATCAATGAACAGATAACGATAAAAAACTGAAAAGTTAACGTAAATGGTAAAGCACAACCAGTGACATTTGACGAAATAGACTAAAAGAAATGGGGAAAAAATCACACCATTAATTCGCGATTAAAGAAATAATAAACGAGACCGCTTCGGCAACCATAGAAAATGTGCGTTACATTATTGGATTTATTAACTCAGTTTATCAAATTATATTTCTAGATAGTTATTTATTGTAGATGTAGGAAAAGCTATGTATAATGTGCGCGGGACTTTTACATTTTTTTGTTGTGTCAAGAAACAAACTCACATAGTTGATAATATGCTGACCGTACTAACGAATTTGTTACGGAAATAAATAAATTTGTAAACAATTAAAGAAACATACCATTCACATACCATTTATATAACTTTAACCAAAAGAATAGTCACAACGTGATGATCAACAAAAATGGGTCAGGAGGTTAGGGCGCTCGACTCGCAATCTGAGGGTCGCGGGTTCGAATACCTATCACACTAAACATGCTCGCCCTTTCAGCCGTTGGGGCGTTATAATTTCACGGTCAATCCCACTATTCGTTGGTAAAGGAGTAACCAAAGAGTTGGCGGTGGGTGATGATGACTAGCTGCCTTCCCTCTAGTCTTACACTGCTAAATTAGGGACGGCTAGCGCAGATAGCCCTCGTGTAGCTTTGCGCGAAATTCAAAAAACAAACAAACAAGCAATGATTAACAACTAATCCTAGTTTAAACCAAATCGTGCAGTAAAGTGTGTGCTAAAAAAGTACACACGTTGGGTGGAAAATAGCAATAATAATCATGTTGATCTCATTAGCAGAAAGTTTGGAAAGGCTGTTAGATTCTAGGCTTCAAAATTGTAAACTGTAGCAATGAAGCTATAATTAGTGTTTAATTTAACTTCATTTGTTTTATCGCTGTTTTCTCTAACTGGTAACATTTGAGCATTTTGGAATGAGATAACTAGGGTAAAAAGTAAAAAATAAATAATTAAAAACTTGCCAATTGCTTATAATTCTATATCTGTTACTTCTAGTAAATTACTATGTAATAGTTGATGCATATATATTTATATCGGTGTTGCATTTGGTTTGATAATATTAGTGTTACCAGCAAAAAACTACAAAGAATACTGGCATAGTGACGCTATGAGTGTTAGTTTAACACACTTAACATCAGCTAAAACAATTACTAATTATTCAGTGTTATGTAAGATACCGAAAACTCAATAATAAAATATGTACTGCAAGCTCTAAAATAAAATGTATTTTTTGTACTATATAAAAACACATGAGGAATCTGCATTATTATTATAGTTGTTGTAATGGTCTTCAGATGTTTGTTTTTATTTGTCTTTTTCCATTACCATATCAAATTCACAAAGTTTGAGCTTTAGAGTAAATGAAAACGCTGATTCGAACTTTCGAAGACTATGAAATTGGATTTGCTATAGATAGGTAAATCAAGTAACTTTTTTATGCTTTGGCTTTAGGCTTAAAGTGAAATAGAATATGATTTCCATTAACGATAGGTCAGTATTAGATCGAATAAATTAACAAATAAATAATGATTCTAATCAAATAGATGTACTTCCGCATGGTCCCCGAAAGTATTCTGTTTCAAGAGAAAATAAAACCAAAATTAAGAGTAATAAATATTTTTATTTCTTGTTTTTGAACTTCATATGTCATGCTGTGTTGTAGCCTACAAAGTACATAATTATTTTCTTGATTCATAGCATGTGCACGTTTTACTGCCGTCACGAAAGTACAAATTGCATCGTTAAGCGTCCCTTATGTGACGTCATTTTAGTGTCTACTGACTGACTGACTGACAGACAACACATTACTGTGTAGTGGTCTGAGTGGTTAAAATAAGTGACTCTTCAGGCGGCTTTTGGCCTTCTTTCGGGGTAATGAGGTACAAACCAATGGTTACTTACAGCTTAGTTCTGTTTTACTGTAGATGTAATTTAAGAAACCTAAATTTTTGTTTAATATACAATAATTTGCAGGAAAAATATATGTGGGTATTTCTCAAAGGACATCTTACTTCAGGTACAAATTAAAACGAGTCTGTTTGTTTCTTTTTTCCTCATTTTATGTAAAGTAACACAAAACGTAGTTTTAAATAGTTTTAAAATTAAAATATTAACTTTCTAAATCTGATTTTTGTTCCTTTCTGTGAAAATTTTTACTGAAAGGTGGCCAAAATTACATTTTTTTTTCTCTCAGGGAGTTGATGCTTCTAGGTTATTCGATATTTGACTCATGTGTGGATATCTCTTTCGTGTCTAATAAATACAACTGTTGTTGATGGAGGCTATTTACATATTTATTTACGGTCTGAATAATGATTGGTAAACAAAGCAATGCCTCATATAATAATAGAAATAAAAGCGATTGTACCGTTATAATTCCAACAAAATAATGTTTTCATTATTACAAAAGTATTAAAAATTATGAATTTTACTTTGGCCTAGAGATAAGTGTATAAAGCTCCCAAAGTATGGATTAAATGTTATAAATTTTTTAATGTGTTTTTAATTCTTGTTGCATTACTTTTTATAGCAGGATCCCTACTTCATTTTAAAATTTAAAATTTTTAATAATCTTATTTGTTTACTTTTCGTGTAATACCTGTATAAAGTATATACTTTACTTTGAGAAACTGTCGTGTGCTTATCCATTGATATGTAGCGCCATCCGTTGGATTGAAAAGATATTTAAGTACATGCATGATATTTTTACCATTTATGTTATACCTGTATATATATATATATATATATATATATATATATACGGATTTTTTCGGAATATCAAAAGTGGATACCCACAGACCAGTTAAGTAAGCTGGAGAAATATTGTAACGAAAGTCCGAGTCATCTAGGTGCTAGCCCCGCTGACGTGATCATGTAGACGAAAAAGTTGCTATTTTAGAAATTTTTGATTTGTTATACCGGAAATGTTAGCGACCTTTTTAGCGCATTATTAGTATATGTGCACATAATATATCATAACCAATTCTTTGAATTGTCGTTTTTTCGCTTAGGAATTCGATAGGGGGGGGGGGGGTTATCGGCGTGTGAATTATTTGGAATCCATGTCGATCCCCAATATTACCCTCCCATTGGTACAGCGGTATGTCTGCGGACTTACAACGCTAGAAACCGGTTTTCGATACCCGTGGTGGGCAGAGCACAGATAGCCCTTTGTGAAGCTTTGTGCTTAACTACAAACAAACGAACCCTTAAAATAGAGACAGTAAAGGCAGTCGTACTTGCATAGATATTTTTTGATAAAATATTACGAGAAAGTATCAGAAAAATGACGCAATCTTATTGATGTCTTATATCGAACTGTGTGAAGTGACATGATAACATTGAAGTCCAGCTAACATCAACGGGTATTCTTCTGCCGATCAAGGGTGTTATTCCGTGTACAACACTTCACAGGTATGGTGAAGTCCAACTAACATCAACGGGTATTCTTCTGCCGATCAAGGTATGGTGAAATTTTAAATTACTTTCTTATGTTTATAGCCGCGGCATAGCGACTCGTAGAATGGCTCTGAGTTTTTCAAGTACAAACTTTTAGCTCATAGCTCCGTCATCTCTTGACAGATTTGAGATTCTAATTATAGTTTCGGACTCAACAGATCAAACCCTTTCGATTGATTATCTGACCACGCCCAAGATCTCATAGATTAACATATTCTAATTCTGCCTAAAAGAATTTCAATTTGAGAGTATGCTGGTAGAGTAATAAAATTGAGTCGAGTATGCGCGCACCCCACGCTTGGTATTGCTAGCGCACAAAAATATAACTAACAAAAAGGAACAAAAAAGTCGTATAAGTTACTTTACTCTAATTCTGCCTAAAAGAATTTCAATTTGAGAGTATGCTGGTAGAGTAATAAAATTGAGTCGAGTATGCGCGCACCCCACGCTTGGTATTGCTAGCGCACAAAAATATAACTAACAAAAAGGAAAAAAAAAGTCGTATAAGTTACTTTACTCTAATTCTG